TTATCTACTGTCTCAATTGCGGTATCCCGGGTATATCCGTTTGTGCTGATGAATGTACTGCCCTCAACCCCTTGCCAGATATCGCGGAGGAAATCGCTGTTTTTCTCAGCAGTGACTTCGGCAGGCATCGGCTCTACGACGTGGATGTATGCGAGTTTGTGTTTGCGCAGCTGCTCAACCACGTAGGAGAACTGGGGTTTGGGGTCTGCCATGCCCATACCTGCACCGCAATCACTAAATAAAGATAGCTAGTATTGAATGATGCGACACGTACTGCTGAATGTGCCCCAGGGCTCATTCGGAACCCCGTCCTCTCAGCACCAACGGCTCCACAACGGCATCCGTTACTGCGAGTGCAAACCTTGCGCGATTCTCGATGCTTCCGCCATATTCATCTGTGCGTTGGTTGCTGACGTCTTGTATGAACTGGTCGATCAAGTAGCCATTTGCGCCATGAATTTCAACGCCATCGGAAACCAGCCCGAATGGCATTCTTTTGCCGCAGTGCTATACGTGGCAACGTATTCTTTGATTTCATTCGTGGTGAGCGCGCGTGGTACGTCTGTTTTTTCCCGAGAGGGGGATGGGTGAGGCACTGACGAGAGGACTATTATCCTCTTTGGCAAGAACGGCTGTTTCTGCCGTACGGCCAAGCGCCCAGAGTTGTAGGAAAATGAAAGAGCCTTCTCGTGGACTGCTTCTGTCACCTGCAGTCCGGGGCGTGAGTCAGCTCTCATCATTTAAGCAAGATACAACACACCTTTTTCCATCCCTCCACATGGGCATCGGTGTATATCCCGGGAACATTATCATAACCACCAGCCCTCTGAGATATGAACGTGCCCTCTGTGATAAGAAGAGTGCCAGGGGCAGACCCTCTCTGAGAGTAGTATGCTGGTGCTTGTGGGGTTGGGACGTGATTTGCGTGTGCACGTATACGGGTGAGTGGGGCAAGGACGACGCGGTGCTGTAAGTTGATGTTGCCTACGCGGATGGGGGAGAAGAGTGCGGAGATGGAAGAAGCAGACATGTGATCTATTGCAAACTAGGTATGAAAGGCTTTGAATGATATTGATTGAAAGTCTGGGCAATCGACATCGTGTGTTTTATATCCAGGCTGAACGAGTTTAAAATAGATAGATTTGTCAGGCCGGCTGTAGGCCATCAGGAAACCCTGATGGCACCCAGCACCGGCAGGTCGCGCTGCGAAATTAGTTGTGATATGCTCAGCTAGCGCTGGCCAGGCTGACTGACTCTGAGTAACGACATCACCGAGTCGGATTTCAGATTATTCATCATCGATTATAAATATTTCACAGCCACAACGTTAACTGCAGGGCCAGCCTTCACGACGTTGTACATCAACTTCAGTAATGATTGATTAAGTCATTCTCCGAGTCAATGGAATTTGACAAACCAAGGGGTCAAGGTAAGCTTCTAAATGTTGTTGTTCAAGCAATATCGTTTCTAAGATATCGCTGTAAAGTGCTAGATGTAGTGCTCGAGCGCTCAAGCTCAAGAACGGACTTTGCGACACTGGCAACCTCTGGCAACGCATCATTTGCACCTGCCAGTGGATAAAATGGATCCTGACCTTGGCCCTGATGATATGAAACGCATGTCACAAATTTTCATTTACGACAAAGCGGTGAACTGCATCACCATGCAGAACCAAGTCATATCACGCCAAGGGGCATCGTGAAAATGCTGCGCCACTGCTGCGACTGCTGCCGCAACTGCTTAGTTATTTGGCTGTCGGATTATAGGCGTACCTGTCACACTCATTGCATACTCGAATAGCATAGGGCGGCAAGCAGCAGCTGGTACCTCAAACTCCAAACTAGTCGGTGGTGTGTAAACAGTATTGAAAAATTCAGTCTGAGCATGCTCTATTCAGACCAATATCTTGGAAGGTGGTGCGTGACTCTCCAATTGTCAACAGTGAGAGAACCCCGACAGGCTGAAAAAGTTAATGGAGCCATGCGTTGTCTTGCAGCGTGCGCAGTGCCCTCGATCGCGTTGCATCAACGCTCATTATCTTCGTGAAGAAAACAGTTGGGATAGGGAATAGAAGACTCCGTAGTAATTCCAGTTCAGGCTCCACATTATCCAAAGTGAATGAATAACCGGCCGGGTGATCCTGGCCAGCGGCGCCAAAGGACATTGACAGGGACCTATCATTTCTGCGAGCCTTCATCAGCGCGGAAAGCGATGGAGAGAGTGTGTGAAGAGATGTAGAGCTGCGAAAGGGACCGCCCATCTTTCTTGTACTCGCCAGCAGCGTGCAGCAGCAAGAAACTAAAGACAAACGTCGGGCACCACTATATGCGAAATATTGGCGGTGCAATTCTGCTGACTTTTCACCACCGGGCAGACGATGTCGTGCCACAACTCTATCAATGCTTTTTCCAACGCTGGATTACCTGTGCGGTGGAGTTTCTTTTCCAGCTCCTGGAGTTTTTTAAGATCGGTATGGAGTTGGATGCTAGCCGGCGGGTGCTTGTGCGAGATGAATTTAGATTATCGGTGCTTTATATGCTTACTTGTCCTTTTTTTGCCTGAAAACACGAGATTAAGTCCATACATGTGCTATACAATACGACTTACCATGGTGGACATTCTGAACTCTTCGTATTGTTGTTATTATCGTCGCCTAACGACTTACGCTTACAGTTTCTCCCTTTCAAGGGTTCAGTGCTGGAAGCAGATTTCTCTGCTGGAGGATTTGGGGAAGTCTTGCGCGATGACGCCGAAGAAAAGTCTAAATCAGAGTCTGATTCTGATGAGCTTGAAGACTCAACGGTGACAGGCCGACGACGGGCCATAATGATGACTGAGAGATGATTTCAGACTGACGCTGGAAAGTAAGATGTGTACAATCTAGTCCGACAACCTGATATCCGACGTACTTCCGGCTTGGTGCCTCTTGGTCAAAAACACGGTGAACTGTCACCACTTAAGTCGCACCGTAAGATAGACTGAGATAAAGAATCAAAGATTAAGCACAATATTGGGTGCATACAGTAAGGTAACTTCTATTCGGAGGTATATTGCTTACAAGACCATGTCAGAATTTGCTGCTCTATTGCTGATCATTCTCCGGCGCGAAGGGCCAATCCGAATAACCCGCTGGTGTGAGATTGCCGCGCATGTACCATGTTGCTTGGTCACCCCGCTCAAGCGCGATGCCCTTTCGCAGACGGAATGGAAGATCGGGCTAGTAGAGGGGATGTATTAGTCACTGCCTACCTAGTCTAGGAAACAAATAACTCACGTTTGGCATAAACAACCTCCCGAATCCAATGAGGCCGCCTTTCTTGTCTACCGTCTCGATTGCGGTATCCCGGGTATATCCGTTTGTGCTGATGAACGTACTGCCCTCAACCCCTTGCCAAATATCACGGAGGAAATCGCTGTTTTTCTCAGCAGTGACTTCGGCAGGCATCGGCTCTACGACGTGGATGTATGCGAGTTTGTGTTTGCGCAGCTGCTCAACCACGTAGGAGAACTGGGGTTTGGGGTCTGCCATGCCCATACCTGCACCGCAGATCAGCTAAATAAAGATCGCTAGTATTGAATGATGTGACACGTACCGCTTAATATGCCCCAGGGGCTCATTCGGAACCCCGTTCTCTCAGCACCAATGGCCTCCACAACGGCATCCGTTATTGCAAGTGCAAACCTTGCGCGATTCTCGATGCTTCCGCCATATTCATCTGTGCGTTCGTTACTGACGTCTTGCATGAACTGGTCGATCAAGTAGCCATTTGCGCCGTGAATTTCAACGCCATCGAAACCAGCTCGAATGGCATTTTTTGCGGCGGTGGCATACGTGGCAACGTACTCCTTGATTTCATCCGTGGTGAGTGCGCGTGGCACGTCTGTTTTTCCAGGCATGAAGATGGGTGAGGCACTGACGTGGGGACTATTGTCTTCCTTGGCAAGAACGGCTGTGTCTGCGGTACGGCCGAGCGCCCAGAGTTGTAGGAAAATGAAAGAGCCCTTCTCATGGACCGCTTCTGTCACCTGCAGTCCGTGGCGTGAGTCAGCTCTCATCATTGTTAAACAAGATACAACATACCTTTTTCCATCCCTCCACATGGGCATCGGTATATATCCCAGGGACATGATCATAACCACCAGCGTTCTGAGATATGAATGTGCCCTCTGTGATAAGAAGAGTTCCGGGGGTAGACCCTCTCTGAGAGTAGTACGCTGACGCTTGTGGGGTTGGGACGTGATCTGCGTGTGCACGTATACGGGTGAGCGGGGCAAGGACGACGCGGTGCTGCAAGTTGATGTTGCCTACGCGGATCGGGGAGAAGAGTGCGGAGGTCGAAGAATCAGACATGGTGAACTAGGTATGAAATGCTTTGAATGGTATTGATTGGAGATCTTGAGACGGGAATCCACATCGCGTATTTTATAGCCAACCTCGACAGGCTGAACGAGTTTGAAATAGATATATTTGTCAGGCTGGTTGTGGATCATCAGGAGATCCTGGGTGGCACGCAGCACCGACAGGCCTGAGTGCACAGCACTACAAGACATGCTTAGCGAGCGCTGGGCTGACTGATTCTGAGTAACGATGGCAGAAGCTGAAGAACTGATGCCTATCACCCAGTTGGATTTTAGATTATTCATCATCGATTATAAATATTTCACAGCCACGGCCCACAATTGGAGACCTGTTCAAACAATCGGTATACCGGCTGTTGCACATCAACCACAGTGTCAGTAATTATCAATTATGGTCTGTCATTCTCCGAGTCGATGCATGAGTCGGAATTTGACGAACCGAACGGTCAAGGTAAGCCTCCAAACGTTGTTCAAGCGATATCGTTTCTAAGATATCGCTGTAAAGTGCTAGATGCAGTGCTCAAGCCCAAGAATGAACTTTGCAACGCTGGCATCGCATAAGCGCGGTGTAATGTCGCCATTTGCAGCCGCCAGTCGATAAAATGGATTCCGACCTTGGCCCTGATGATATGAAACGCGTGTCACACATTTTTATTTCCGACAAAACGTGGAGGCATCACCATGCAGAACTAAGTCATATCACGCGCAAGCATGAGACGATCCAGTGCCTATCAGATCCCCCCTACATCGCTGTCCTTCTCGACCTCAATGTGGTCATGGACCCCCGAACCTTGATACCACGTATCCTAAGAGGGTCCCAGGCCACCGCGAAACAGACTGATGTCTGCGGATCTATGCTTCTGGGATGAGCTTTACCCCATTTCCATCTTAAATCGACACACTGGCCCTACGACAGGGCTACAAAGGATTCTCTCGATAGAAAGAATCACCATCGCGGACGACTCTCAAAGCCCTCGTCAAATTCGGGAATACTGCTTACTAGGTTGCGCAACTCGAGGTGGGAGGCACAACAAGAGTCGCCACTCGAACTATGACTGTGAAGGGAGGTTATTGAGTATATATTTCAGCTGGTCAGATGTGCGCATCTTGGCAAGAGCTTCAGGAGTGCTCTGAAGATTATCCCGGTATCACAAAAAAAAACGGAATAAAGTCGTTCGAAGTACTTGCGCGCTAGCAGGAAGTACTCTCAGTAAATCCAGAACCTCGAGTGAATTCCATAGATCAAAGAACTGCAGGAGATGATCATACTATGGTCGCCTTGCTAGAACTTGTCTACCCTCTCGTCATCAGCCTACTGAGTTGAAACAGCATACGGGTCTTGTTTCCTGTCTCAAGCTCTTCGATTTCGGCGCTGTATGGTGAGTAATAGTCGTTCACGTTCACCATACCTCACATCCTGATTTGAATATCCGACGTTTCAAGACTTTCACTTGGGATGCCCTTTCTCTTTTGGTGCTTATATGTATCTCTATTCGACCTCTAAAACGTCTCGCCCACCAGTTGAATGCAAGTCTTTCGGCAGTCAAAACCGTTACCTCTCTTGGTCGCGTAATTCCCGCCACTGCTCTGACATCACCCTTTGAACACTTCAAAATTCCTTCACCCAGCCGCCAGTGTTACTAGTGTGGGCCTCAGGTAATACTACTCGCACCTCACTGATAATTGTTTCTTCTGCATGGCGTGAGCGGAAGGTACAATGGCTTTGTATGATCCGACATGACGCCTTCTGCGATCGCATATCCGTTCAAACCCCACACATCATGAACAACGAGCGGATGCAAAGTCAAAAGACTGCCTAGCTATGAAACTAGGAGAACAAGAGCATCTTAAGGTATTTGAGTCACTTCTGATGCTAGATTTGTCCTCTCCTTAATGTATTCATATATGCCTGGATCTACGGTCGATCTTATGCTACAATTTGTCCTAAATTGTCGGCCAGCAGTCCACGACATTATGAAGGCACCCGGCAAGCAAAAAAAACTTACAGTGGCTTCGAGGCTCGAGCGAGCGACATCATACATGGGATTTTTGTCATGCCAGAGTCGCATACATAGCACTTATGAAAGTATCTGTGAGTACCAGCACTGTCAGGCACATATTATGATTACACGCTTTCACCACTCTACTATTCTCGTGATCGGCTTCTTCTTTGGTCACTGTGACGCTGATAATGGTTCTTGCACTAATCGCACAATGCACATAGATTCTACAGATATCATCATCCGCGGGGTTTAGGCTTTAGATCCCCTGCAGCTACAGACGATTAATACAAATACGTGCTTCCACTCGCTACCTGGTAACCACCAGAACGGAACTAGTGCAGGTAGGTCACCTTGAATAATTATTGCCTGTGTCTACACCGCCGGCGCCAAGTCGACCACGGCAACAAGGGCCGGTCAGGAAGCAACGGCATGAACAATGGGTCTATGATTATTTCAAATCACGGCAGTAGCCATACGACCTGTAATAAGAATTGCACACGTAGCGACAACGGTGCATGCTAGTAGTTGGGCAGTTGCTGGACCGCACCAACCGCGGACTCCCACCTCCAGGGACTGTGCTGGCATCTGTGATGCCGTACTAGATACCCCTTCCCCTCAGGTCCAGTTGACAAGCTGAGTTAGCATGATTTTGCGTGTGAAGTCTTTTTCCTGGGCAACAACCACTGACCCATTCCTTCGGTAAGGTTATACGATCGACGATCAAGCTCCAGGGGCACCTTTCCAAGCACAAGTCGACTACATCGCAGGAACAGTTCATGGGAATGCAGAAGGGTAGAATTTCAATACAGATAGGCATCAATTGCAGTCAGCCCCGAGGTCATCTAAATATCCCTTGTCCGAGATCCGCAAGAATCACTCGAAGTACATGGGCATATTATCATTTCGTAAATATCAATAATATCTAAGGTCTGTTTCAGTGTAGACATTCAAATCCTCTTTCAAGCGTAACCAAACGACTCGATGTGTAGAGTCACACTCGGCCCACCGTTGGCTACACTGAGAGGACTAGAAACTGGGAACCTAAGAGCACCACGAACAGACCGAGTTATGCTTTGTGAGCCACACACTGAAAACAAAGTCAGTGTTACTGTAATCTGCAGCGTATGAAGGCGAAAACTGACCGCTAACAGACATCCTGCCCGTCGCCGCTGTCACTTCGTCTCTGAGGATAGCCCGGAGGTCGGCCCTTTGATGTGCAAGCTTGACCGACTCTATCGCGAAAAGGGAGTCATTGGTTATTTCCATAGCTTTTCCATCCTGCAGCTCGACCACCTCAGAGCGGGAATCGTCGCGCACAGGTTTGACGTCGTCAGTTCGACCAGACGATCGTGGAAAAGTCTCAATAGTTGCTGGTGTGTCGGTAACGTGAATGTGGATTGAAATAGATAAAGAAGGAGGTGCAAGCCGTAGTGCCCGGATAAGCACATCGTCGATCCAGTGAATATGATCTAAGGAGCATAGACACATTAATCTCGCCACAAGCCTCGGATTGGTAATTCTTACCGACACTCCGAATTGACCAAATGAAAACAACACGACGGCACCTGCTTTCACCGTTGCGGACACGCCTGAAACAAAAAAAATCAGGTTAAATATACAGAATCGGTAATCCAGTCGACATACTCTATTGTATCCAACAATACCGGTAGTGTATACGAGACTCCGGATCCACCTGAAAGAGGGACATGCATGAGCAATGTTCGACATGTAGAAAGTTCAGCGACTAACCAGCAATGAGCACAGATGTGTCATATGAACCCAGGTCAGGAGAAGGCCCGTATGGCCCATCGACAAAAACTTTTACTTTGTCACCCTTCAAGGCAGCATCTTTCAAGCGGGCAGTGAATCCTTCCCTCACGTTTATGAAAAATACGAGCTCTTTCCAGAACGGAGCACTAGAACCGAGATTCTCTTCTGCAAGGCCGATCTCAGCATATTTTTCACTTGTTGGTTTCTGTTCCTTAGGCACATCAAAAAGGGTCGAATCGAAGCTCGCAATGGTGAAAGGGTGGGCCTCGAATGGCAAGCGTGAGACGGACGGCATGATAAGATAGGCAGTTTGCCCGGGCGTCCAGTGGAAATGAGACGGGCGGTGGAAACGCAACCGAACAAAATCATCTGATAGGAGTTCAGCGGTCGCGTCCATCGTAGACCCTGACCTGAATCCGAAGTATGAGTGGTTGAATACCACTAGACGAAGGATCCGAATGAACCGGTCCAATCCCCATATTACGAAACAGGGGTAGATCCAGAAGGCGACGCTGGTGATTATCAGCGTGGAACATGTAAGTTGTGTATTTGATGAAACTCACTCAGAATCTTGTGTGTGGATGTAAGCGCCGATGAGGAAAATGCTGAAAAAGTTTGTGAGTGTGGCAAAGCAATAGAATTGGAATAGGCTCACGAAACCATAGCGAAATGAACGTAGAAGAAAAGCTCGTATGCTTGGGATCGGACGGGGCGCAAGGAGACGATACATAGAATGGTAGATGCGACCATGGCAACCAAGCCCCATAAGAGCCATGGCTGCGTTAAGTATGGTTGGAATCTGTGTCGTGTTAATGCATTGAATCCTTTATACATGTTGCACGTACGGTGCACGTCGGACAACCTCACCACCTACATGAACCCAGAGCAATACGAAGGCAACTCTAGACATCATGCGATGAGCGTAGTTGAGCTTGAAGATATATCACGTTAGAATAGAGCAATGGCGAATATCGTAAATAGATTTACCTTGTCATAGCTGATACCGGTGATTACTGCAGGCAGTCAGCAAAGCAAGTTAATATGCAAGCACAGAAGCCGTACAGGATACTATGTTGTTTTTAGTTCCAAGTGCAGTGATCAGTGGGAACTGGCTCGACGCCAGCATGCCTGAGCGGTTGCACCAGTATGAGATGTCCAATTTTTGGCTCTCGAGGTCGGTTGCTAGAAGCTCTCTCAGAATGTGCGAGTGACATTGCCAGGGAACTCACTGTTGATAAATGCCCATACAAAAAGGAAAACAATGTACGCCACCGTCACAAAAACCTCAGCCATGTTGAGGGTGTATGACTTTCCAAATTCGAGTGTCCAGCGGAAAGAAATGACGCGGTACGCATTGATGAGTCCCAATGGAATGCGACGCCAAGAAAAAGCGTGACGACGGTGCTCAGAAGCATGTTCTGTGTCGGAGGCGTTGGACGTTGGACGCTTCCCGGCGAACTTGGAGTGAAAGAAAGAGATCCATTGGAAGATTGCAACGATAAA